CTTCTCGTACTGACATTTCTCCTCTTAATCTTTTCTTCTTTTATCCCTTCTTGTAGCCATAATAATTTTTTTAATTATTTCTTTTATTCTCCCTTTTTTTTTTGTTTTTATTCATATAATTTTTTTTTTGTATCTTTTTGGCTACGAAACTTTTGTTCTTTTTATAAATCTTAGGGATTTTTCATTTTTAGGAGAGAGAGATAGAGAGAACCAGAAGAAAAAACATCCATAATTTTATTTATCTCCTTCTTGGGGAGAAGGAGATAAAGAGAGATAACAGAACACTTTCAACAGGCAGAGAAACCAGTACTCATGCAATCATCTGAGTCATAACCTCCTAGCGGTGAAGGAGCGTATCCTGGTCCAGTGTCATCACTGGACTCACTTTCCTCGAACATTAACCCGTTTGAGCTTGAAGATGAGTAGGTTTGATTGAAAAACCTAGTAAAGTCCACAGGAGGACGGATGAACGGGTTGAGTGGCATCTGTTGAGGAGGCGGTGGAGGAGCAGGGACCTCTTGTGGCAGTGGTGCAAGAACTGGTAGACTTGGTGGGAACTTTGGAAGAGGTTCTGGTGGAGGTGAACGTTGATAAAGCCCTTCGAAACCGAAACCGGGAGGGGGTAGAACCGGTCCAAACGTCAGTTGTTTCAAATACTGGAGATATTCTGAATTGCTCATATTCAGAATTTCAGCATACATATCAGGTTGAACAACTGGTGAGAATTTCATAAATGGAGGCTCAGACCCTTCCACTTTGTCTTGTTCTGCCGACGATTTCTTGTCACCATTGTCTTCTTCATATATGAAGCCAGGTTCACGCGGTGGTGATTCTGGTACTGCTTGAAATTGAGGCGACTTCGGTTCATGCTCCTTTTGTAACACCCCAGATTTTCAAGACATTTAAAACTTATAAAATAAAGGTGAAGTCTCATTAATTCCCAAAAACGTAACATAAAGAGTACGGGGTGCTATGCCACACCTGAGCTAGAGAACTCAGGTGCACAGGCCAACTAACTAATATCCTTAATCAAGTAAATGCGTAAGCATGGCACGCAGGCCGAAAGGGAAACTATCTACTTCTACGCTCCAAGTTCTAGTGCGCTCCAGTGACTTATTCTTCTGTGCCTGAAAGCCAAATATATCTGTTCAGCGAGAGATGCTGGTAACCCACTCCAACACGTTGAAATACAATACATATATATATATATATATATATATATATATATATATATATATATATATATATATATATATACATAGATATACGAAAAGTCATTTTGAAGTATGAAGATATATCCTAAGAGACTCTAGCTTTCAAATCAGGGGACCGACTCGACAAATAGGGGTACACACAATCTACAGTCATAACCAGCATATACAATTCTCACATAGGAAATAGTCATAGATAAGCACAACCAATAATCACAATTAAGCGTTTCTAGCAAGAGCCCTATAACAGTCACCACATCAATCCTTCTTATCTCATCATATAGCACACTTTGTTGGCGCCGCAGGACCAATCGCATGCCATACATGAGGGTCAGCGCATATAGCTCTGACACGGCCCCGCAGCACCCTGCCCCGTCTCACACTACGGAGGGGTCGATCGCAACCGACCGATGAGCCGCAACTCTATATAATATTTATATACCTGACCGGTCTTTACCAGCCTGGTTAACAGTTAGGATGGTTCTCAACCCATTCAACTGCCCGTATGGTGGACCTTTGTCCTATATAATATTTATATACCTGACCGGTCTCTACCAGCCTGGTTAACAGTTGGGATGGTTCTCAACCCATTCAACTGCCCGTATAGTGGACCTTAGTCCTATATAATATTTATATACCTGACCGGTCTCTACCAGCCTGGTTAACAGCCGGTATGGTTCTCAGCCCACTCGACTGCCCGTATAGCCCGATTGATCTCAACCAAATCGGGATAACATGCACACATAACACATAGCAAGCACATGCAACCCACATTAGCACATTGGGAAGGGGGAGAAAACGTATAACAAAACCTATGCGTGATTCTTCACATTTTAAGAATAGTCCTAAGGGGTTCATACTTCTTTCACCTAGGTCAACGGGATACCAATTCAACTAGCATGCAATATATAAGACTCATACGACCTACGAACGGTACCCGAAAATCAAACTAGACATAGGCACGATAGACGGAGTCCGTTGGGACACCACGGGGGTCGGGGGAACATCAAACGGGGAAGCCGGGGTCCCGAAGTGTGGGAATTTCCAGCGGGTAGCCGGTGGGTGGGGGTTCACCCGCCGGTATTTACTGTTCCGGGCAGCGGGTGCCCGGCGGGCAGCTGCCCGCTGCCGGAGCTCCCCTTTTTGGCCGCGGGTAGGTGGCGGGTCCCTTACCCCCCACTGACTCTTTTCACCAAAAACGCCCCGGGAACCTTTGTGGAACCCGAAACCATGCTTAGACACTTTCAACGCAATTGATAACACACGTAGACAATTAACGGATCAAAATCAAGAAACAAACGGCACATAACCTATCATGCTTTTCTAAACATAATAAACACCCAATCATGCGAAATCCCACCCAATATACCAAGAATAATACCATACGAATTCCACGATATAACCTAGGGTTCTAATTATTTTTAAATCAACAAGAACACAATTCATCTTCCAAAATCAAGATTCGGTAGGAATATCATATAACTATCAAGAACCTCATATAATCATTAAGAACATCAAGAACACCATGTAATTATCAAGAATGTCATATTATCATCAAGAACACCATAATTATCAAGAACCTTTCATCATCAAGATCACCCATGGAAATCATCCCACCAATCATCAATAATAATATCACAAATCATCAATACACAATAATATGGGGAAATCCTAAGAGGGGAATCATAACTAAGAAAATAGATTTTGTTGAGACATGGGTTACCTCTTAGCCTTAATTAATTCCTTGGCTATGAAGGGTCTTTCTTTAAGCTTTCTTCTTTCTTGATTTCTCCTAAGGGGATTCTTGGAACTTCTTGTGTGGTGAGAGATTATGGTGGTGAAAGATCTAGGTGCCTTCTATATCCCTATTTATATATTTAAGACTCCTAATTAGGGCCTGAATGGTATGGGTTTACTAATTCTATTCCTTATAGGACTAAGGACTTGTTTTAGGGATAAGGGTCCATGGTCCATAGTGGACCATATTAATTAATTAAAGAGAATCCTAATCATAATCTAAATAGTAAAAAGCCTACTTCCTTTATTCATAATAGGCCTAAGACTCTCATTTAGGCAATGGTCCACGGCTCATGGTGGACCTCATTAATTAATTAAAGGGAAACTTAACCGAATTAAATCATATTTAATTATTATTAATGGGATTAATTAAATAATTAATCTGGGATTGAAGGCCGTAACACGGGGTGTTACACCTTTTCTTCTGAAATTAACACCAGAGGGTTGCTTGGGGTTTCTCCTGCTTTTCTGCGTATGTCCGTTCGTGTTGCTCTTCGAGGTTGTTTGAGAACCTTCTCCCATGTTCTCTGAGTTTGCTTCCTCATCTCGTTCTCCTGAGATTCACTGGACACCATCTTGCACCTGCAAAAGAGTTCAAACAGACAAAATCTTCCATAAGAAATATTTCTCGGCTGTCTCCCAATATATAGGGCGGTCAGGAAGACTATCGGTTCACTTGCCAATGGGGAGTAAATATTTCTGGCCGTCATTTGAGATTTACGGGATGTGACGGATAGCGGCAAAGCTTCTCATTGGTCGAGATGGCGGTGGGTGGGAAGAGATTTGATGGGCAACGGTTTAGAGGGGAGAGTTTAATGAGGGGTTAGGTTTTAATTGCTATGTGGGAGACGATTGATATTATTTAGCTGAGAGGAGGTATGGGGGTGCCGATTTGAGAGAGAGAGTGAATCAGTTTGGAAAGATTTGATCTAGGAGAGGATTATGGGGGGAGGTTTAAGATGGGTGGAGATTTAGAAAGGGTAGGAGTTTATGGGTGGAGGTTTGATACCCAATTAAACTCTGATTTTCCTCCTTTATCATCTCCTGATTTCCTTCTAAAAAACGTGTACCACAGATACAATCATACTCAAACATTTTGTTAGTAGAAAAAATAAACCATAAATAATTGATGTTATCACATCTTTGTTTGTTATTATAGTTATTTTGAATCATCTTAGTATTTAAGTTCTTTAATTTTGCTTATTTAATACATATTTTCCTTGCTATTATCATTTAATTATGATTCACACTTGTTTTGAATGTTTTACGGTGTTTGTTAGTGTTTTTGAACCATTTTAGGTCAAAGATATGAGCAAGGGGAGTTCAAGGATGAGTTCGGAGCAATTTTAGACAAGTTCGGGACCCAGAGGATTCGACGCGTTTGGCTCTACACGTCGAAAATTTCCAGTACACTTTTCGGTCGAGACCATCAGGTCTCGACGCGTCGAGCGAAGCGCGAAGTCGCAGGCTTAATTACAAAAAGGGCGTTGGCTTCAGCATCTTCAACTTCCAATTCAATTTCAAGCTTTAATATTTAAATATAGGAATTATAATTTGAGTCCAATTTTGTACAAGATTCCTATTTCATCTCAACTTTGTACCCACTATAAAATCCCTCCTTTCTCAACCCTAAAGAGAGACAGAGAGAATTCAGAGATTCTTGGAGACAAGAAGGAGAGAAATCAAGAGCCACAAGTTGTCTTGGAAAGCAAGAAGAAGACTAGGGAGATTTGGGAAAATCGTCTGGTTAATTCTTGTACTCTTTTGATGATTTGTAATTCTTTATTTATATTTGCTATGTATAATTTAGTCATGCTTGGCTAAATTCTTTAGAGATTCTTGGGTAAAAGTGTTTATGAACCTATGTGCCTGAGCTCTCAGTTTCTTTAATATATTATTATTTGGGTTTAATACTTGTGTTGCAATCGTGATAATATTGTTTGATGCTTGTAATTAATGGCCATAGTTACTAGCTTCATAGCCATGTTTGTGTCACCAATGGGAGTTGGGGCATAAATTAGGGTACACACAATTGCACCTAATGGTTGGAGCTTGGGAAATGGGAACTTATTAGGGGAAGTTTATTCTAGATTGTTGCCAATCGGGAGATGGTAGTAATTAGGAATAATTGAATGCTGATCTTCGATCTTATTGGGTGTTTAAGCCACGGGAGTGGAAATTCACTAGGGATAGAGATTACGGGAGTAATTCGATTCCACTTTGCATTCCCACACAAATCTTAATTCCAAACTCAATATTGCAAACGATAATTGGCACTAGGTGATTAAATACTTGAATCCCATGAATCTCAACTTCTCTGTAATTGTTTTCAAAATCCTGAACCTCTGTTTTATTTTATTTATTTTATGTCAATCAATCATCTAAGTAATTGTTAGGATTAGCTCTAATGAATAAGTTAGTAACTAGTGCTTGATACAACCACTTCCCTGTGGATCGATAACTCGTACTCCGAGAATTATTTGTTTGCAAATATACTACGCATCAATAATCAATCACACATACCAATTATATTAAACACACACACGGTAATTTCCAATTAAAACAAACAAATTTTGGAAACTAACAAAATTAACACACATATTCCAAATTTATAATTAGAAACATCTTTATATAAATGCAAACTAATCAGATTCCAAAATATTTTAGAAACTAACAAATTTAACTTTCAGCTCATATTTCTAAAACATTTTTATAGCAAATTATATCAAATAAACCATATATGCACGTAACACATATATAATGCTGTTAGGAATATAGCGGAATAATGCGGAAGCGAAGAATCGAAAATTGAGAATTATAGAAGTTAAATAATAGGGGAAAATGTATAAACGAAGAAAATTGTATAAAATAACAAAATAATAATTAACAATGAAAGATATTTTATATATATATATATATATATATATATATATATATATATATATATATATATATATATATAAAAGCTCTCAAAAGAGAATTAGAGGAATATATATATTAAAGCATGCGTGAGAAAGGAAGAAAGAATTCTATTTTGATAATGCATTAATTACAAAGCTATGTTACTATTTATACAACACAAAGGAGAGTTATGCAGCAATGGTAAGAAGGAGAGCAGAAGGCGGATGGACAGCATGCATGCGATGCGGAAGGTTGAAGAAGAAGTCTTCATGCATTAATTAGAGCCACATAATTTGAACCATATTCTAACAATCACCACCTTGGATCAAATTCACGGTGAAAATTAACAATTGAAACATCCGACTAAACTCAAACACTGTTTGAACTTAGTAACAGTTGACATCTTTGAAAATAATTCTCAAATAAACCGCTCTGATACCACTTGTTAGGAATATAGCGGAATAATGCGGAAGCGAAGGATCGAAAATTCAGAATTATAGAAGTTAAATAATAGGGGAAAATATCTAAATGACAAAATAAATTAATAAGGATGGGAAAATATAAATATATATTTTAATTCCCATCCTTATTAATTTATTTTGTCATTTAGATATTTTCCCCTATTATTTAACTTCTATAATTCTTAATTTTCGATCCTTCGCTTCCGCATTATTCTGCTATATTCCTAACAAGTGGTATCAGAGCGGTTTATTTGAGAATTATTTTCAAAGATGTCAACTGTTACTAAGTTCGATATCGAGAAGTTCGACGAGAAAATTAGCTTTTCTATCTGGAAGGTTCAGATGGAAGCTGTTCTAACCCAGAACGGTTTGAAGAAAGCGCTAGCTGGGAAGAAGAAGAAACCGGCTGCAATGACAGATGAAGATTAGGAAGATTTGGATGACAAGGCACGTTCAACCATTCTTTTGTGCCTGTCTAAAGAGGTTCTACGTGAGGTATTAAGTGAGACGACTGCGTCAGATTTATGGTCCAAGCTGTATACGCTTTACATGGCCAAAACTATGGCAAACAAGCTGCGCCTGAAGGAGCGCCTGTACACAATCCGCATGACGGAAGGTACTTCGATTAAATCTCATTTGGATGAATTTAATTCTATTTTATTGGACTTGGAGAATATTGATGTCGTAATTGAAGATGAGAATCGTGCTGTTTTATTGCTTGTCTCTCTCCCTAAATCATACATGCATTTCAAAGAAATTATGCTGTATGGTAATAGTAGTGATACCCTTACTTTTGACAATGTTAAGTCAAACCTGTTGTCCAAAGAAAAGTTTGACTTTGAAATTAAGTTTGAGGACAAAGGTGAAGGCTTAATTGTAAGGGGTCGTTCACTTGAAACAGAGAGTAGCAATAAAAAATCTATATCCAAGTCCAAAGGACGTAAGTACAACAAATCCTGTAAGTACTGCAAGAAGCAGAGTCATGATGTGACTGAATGCTTCAAGTTGAAAAACAAGCAAGAGAGAGAAAAGAAGTCTGCTGAAGCTAGTGTTGTTGAAAGTGATTCAGAAGTTGATGTTATGTTATCTGTTAGCTCCGGTGACAAACGGAGTAAAACTGAGTGGATTCTGGACTCTGGTTGTACATTCCACATGTGTCCTCACAAAGACTGGTTCGTCTCTCTGGAACCGGTTGATGGTGGAGTTGTCTTGATGGATAATGATACCCAATGCAAGGTTAGTGGAATTGGAAGTGTTTAGATTAGAACTCATGATAATGTTGTCAGGACTCTTACCAATGTTCGGTATATTCCTGATTTGAAACGCAATCTAATATCCTTGGGCACCTTGGAATCTCTGGGGTGCAAGTACATAGCTGAAGGTGGAGTTCTGAAAGTCATAAAAGGCTCTCTTGTTCTCATGAAAGCTTCTCGATCTGGAAGCTTGTACGTGCTGCATGGCAGTACTGTGACAGGTTCAGTAGCGGTATCCTCATCGATGTCTGATGCGGATCTCACTCAACTATGGCATATGCGTCTGGGGCATATGAGTGAGAAAGGCATGCATCTCCTGAGCAAGAAAGGTCTCCTTGGTGATTCAGGTACGGGTAAATTACAATTTTGTGAGCATTGTGTTTTTGGGAAACAAAAGAGGGTTAGTTTCTCTACTGCTACACACCGTACCAAAGATGTATTGGAATATATACATTCCGATTTATGGGGACCGACTAAATTCCATACTATGGGAGGCTGTAGATATTTCATGTCTATTATTGATGACTTTCTCGTAAGGTCTCGGTCTATTTCTTGAAACACAAAAATCATGCTTTTCCTATTTTCAAAAAGTGGAAAATACTTGTTGAGACTCAGACAGGGAAAAAAGTCAAGAAGCTTAGGACAGACAATGGCTTGGAGTTCTGTGAGTCAGATTTCAATGACTTCTGTGCGGCAAATGGAATTGCCAGGCACAAGACCTTGCCTGGTAAACCCCAGCAAAATGGTGTTGCCGAACGTTTGAACAGGACTCTATTGGAAAGGGCTCGTTGTATGCTCTCTAATGCTGGGTTATGGAAACGGCGTGATTTTTGGGCCGAGGCTGTTTCTACTGCATGCTATTTGGTAAATAGATCTCCACACTCATCCCTTGATTTCAAAATTCGAGAGGAAGTTTGGTCAGGTAATCCTGTTGACTACTCTATCTTAAGAGTTTTTGGATGTCCTGCTTATGCTCATTCCAGTACGGGTAAATTGAACCCGAGAGCTGTCAAATGCATTTTCCTTGGTTATGCCTCTGAGTCAAAAGGGTATCGTCTATGGTCTCCTGATTCTCAGAAAATCATTCTGAGTCGAGATATCACTCTTGACGAAAATGCACTACTTTCTTCTGGAAAAGTTCCCAGTACAGATGAGACGCAGAGTACTGGTGAGAAGGTGGAGTTTAAGTTCAGGCCTATTGATAGTGTTACTACTGCTGATGGTAATACTAAAGATGGTGCGTCTACTAGCACCGCACCTCTCGTCGAGCCACAACGGGAGTATTCCATTGCTATGGATCGTCCTAGAAGGACAATTAAAAAACCTGCTAGGTACGCTAGTGACGATGAAACCAATATGGTTGCTTATGCTCTCTCAGTCACACAGGAAGTTGATGGTGATCCATCCTGCTATTCCGAGGCTCTTCCTGTTGCTAAGTTCAAGTAGTGCTTGAGTTTAGTCGGCTGTTCCAATTGTTAATTCTCACAATGAATTTGATCCAAGGTGGAGATTGTTAGATATAATATGTGGCTCAAATTAAACATAGACCATTGTTCCGATCTTGGCGTCTTGTGCATGCTCACGTTCCTATATGGTTTCCGACGTTTGCTCTCATTCTTGTAATTTCCGTAGATCTCTCTTATTTAGAATTATAAATAGCTTAGCTTTATTTGTAATCAATGCATCAATCCCTTACATCAATTCAATTTTGAATTCATTTTCTTTCTTGTCTTTTTCCTCACGTACATAACACACACACACACACACACACACACACACACACACACACACACACACACACACACACACACACACACACACACACATATATATATATATATATATATATATATATATATATATATATATATATATATTTTTTGTTTTTAATTCTCTTTATAGAGATTAATATATATATTTATATTTTCCCATCCTTATTAATTTATTTTGTCATTTAGATATTTTCCCCTATTATTTAACTTCTATAATTCTCAATTTTCGATCCTTCGCTTCCGCATTATTCCGCTATATTCCTAACAAATGCAATAAACACATTAAATTACATTTTTAGGCAAATTTTCATGCAAACAAATTAATTAACTTACAAAAACATGAACACATACTCATAAATTAATTAACACATTAAAACATGTAATTTTAAACAAATTATCAAATAAACCACGAATGGCACATTTCATCAAATTAATTTGCATGGCATATGATCTTACGTTAAATAACACGTGCAAATACATAAGTAAATTCCAAACACATATTGCAATTTTATTATACAAAAATTTCGAATAAACATATGCATATAATCACATAAAACAATTTATTTTGAGCACAAGTATCAATTTAAATAGAGAGATTAAGTCCAGTGATACTTAGCTCATTTCGATCATTCCCAACTCGTGCCTTAAGGTAGAAAATCTCGTTTCGCATAAAGGCTTCGTGAGAATATCAACAACTTGGTTTTCCGTAGGAATATATTCGATCTTTAGATTCTTCTTTTCAACATGATCCCTTATGAAGTGATGTCGAATGTCGATATGTTTGGTTCTTGAGTGAAGCACCGGATTGTGAGTGATAGCGATTGCACTAGTATTATCACAATAAATATTAACGTCATCACAATTAACTCTGTAATCCTTCAATTGTTGCTTCATCCACAAAATTTGTGCACAACAACTTCCTGCAGCAATGTATTCGGCCTCGGCGGTACTAGTTGCAATGAAATTTTGCTTTTTGCTGAACCAAGAAACAAGCCTTCCTCCCCCCAAGAACTGGCATGTCCCGGAAGTGCTTTTTCTATCTATTTTGCAACTTGCAAAATCCGCATCTGAAAAACCCGTTAGAGTAAAATCTGTATCTTTTGGATACCACAATCCATCATTCATTGTGCCTTTCAGATATCGTATGATCTTCTTTGTTGGGTGAGGTGGCTTTCTTTTGGATTTGCTTTGATTCTTGCACACACTCCCACAGCATAAGTAATGTCCGGCCTGCTTGCAGTAAGATATAGAAGAGAACCAACCATTCCTCTATATTTTGTTTGATCGACATCCTTTCCATCTTCATCTTTGTCTAGCCTTATTGATGTGCTCATTGGAGTTTTGATCGATGATTTTCCATCAAGGCCAAACTTCTTTATCAAGTCGCGGGTGTACTTTGCTTGATTGATGAACACTCCTTCTTTCAGTTGTTTGACTTGTAAGCCCAAGAAGTAATTCAATTCACCCATCATGCTCATTTCGAATTTATTCTGCATAAGCTTCGAAAATTTCTCACACAAAGAATTGTTAGTGCTTCCAAAAATAATATCATCAACATATATTTGCACTAATAAAATATGATCACTATCTTGAATTCTAAATAAAGTTTTGTCAAGAAGGCCTTTGGTGAATCCACAGCTTATCAAGAACATTGACAAAGTATCATACCAAGCTCTAGGTGCTTGTTTCAACCCATACAATGCCTTTTTAAGTTTGTAGACTTTATCACCTTCGCCTTTTACCTCAAAACCTGGGGGTTGTTCGACATAAACTTCTTCTTCGAGTAGACCATTCAAGAATGCATTTTTCACGTCCATTTGATAAACGGTGAAATCTTTGTGTGCGGCGTAGGCTAGGAAAATTCCGATTGCTTCAAGTCGGGCTACCGGTGCAAAGGTTTCATCAAAATCTATTCCTTTTTTTTTAGAGTATCCTTTTGCAACGAGCCTTGCTTTATTCCTAACGATCACGCCTTCTTCGTTTGCTTTGTTCCGGAAGACCCATTTGGTTCCTACAACATTGTGGTTCGCCGGTCTTGGAACAAGTTCCCAAACATCATTTCTTTTGAATTGATCGAGTTCTTCTTGCATAGCATTTATCCAATCCGGATCATTAAGAGCTTCGTGCACTTCTTTTGGTTCAATCTGTGATAGATAACACGTGAACAATGCTTCCATGGTAGATGATCTTGTTTTCACGCCTTCATGAATATTCCCAATAATTAATTCTGGAGGGTGATTTTTGAGCAATCTTAAATCTGGTTCAAATGGGTGCATGGTACTGGGTGGATCCATTTGTTGTGTACTGGATGAGTTGGTTCGAATTTCCTCAATTAATTCATTTTGAAATTGACCACCAACTTCACCAGTAACTTGATCACTAATTGGATCACCAACTTCAACCCGTATTGCATCTCCATTTTCACGTGCGGCATCACCTCCAAAAATTATTATTTAAAGAATTTCCAACTTCTTCTGGATGAGGGATGGGATTTTATAGAGAATTAATTTCCAACTCATCCATTCCCTGCAAAACATCATCTATACACGTATCATTAGTATCACAAAAATCAATATGACACTTGTTACCATTTTGTGCAATTTCTTCGTCCAGAGCGCCATTTTTGATTTGTGATTTTTCATCAAATACCGCGTGTATGGATTCTTCAACCACCATTGATCTTTTATTCAAAACTCTGAACGCCTTGCTGGTAGCTGAATATCCTAGAAAAATTCCTTCATCTGCACGCTCATCAAAAGCTTTTAGATGCAATTTATCATTAATATGAAAAAAACATTTGCATCCAAAAATATGAAAATAACCAATATTTGATTTTCTCCCTTTATATAGCTCATATAGCGTCTTCTTGTACTGCTTATGGATCATGCTTCGATTTTGCGTGTAGCAAGCAGTGTTGATAGCTTCCGCCCAATAGCGTTTCGGGAGACCGGCAGCACTAATCATCACTCGTGCGGCTTCTTTGAGCGTTCGATTTCTTCTTTCGACAACACCATTTTGTTGCGGTGTTCTTGCGGCAGATAATTGATGAGAAATTCCATGTGAATTGCAAAAAGCTTGTATAACTCCATTCACGAACTCGGTTCCACGATCCGTTCGTATTTTTGATATTTGCAATTGTTTCTCATTTTGGAGTTGCTTTAACAGCTTCGGTAGAACTTTCTCAACTTCATTTTTCTTCTTGAGAAACACGGTCCAAGTGTACCTGGAAAAATCATCAACAACAACGAGAGTATATTTCTTACCACTTACACTTATTGGATCAACCGGTCCAAATAAGTCCATGTGTAGTAAGCTTAGCGGTCTTGACGTTGACTCGTGTGTCTTTGATTTGAATGATGATTTGATTTGCTTTCTGCGGTCGCATGCATCACACACTTGGTCCTTCTTGAAGATAATATCTGGCAAGCCTTCTACTAGATTCTTCTTCGCAAGCTGATTGATAGTTTTGAAGTTTAAGTGGTTGAGCTTTCTGTGTCATTCCCAATTTGCTTCATTCGAATTTCTCGCCATTAAGCACACTGAATCTTTGCTTGTACTCCAATCAACAACATACATATTCTTTTGTCTTTTTCCAGAGAGAACAATCTCATTTGTGAGCTCATTTTTTATTAGGCAATTATCTTTAGAAAATTCTATAAGATAGCCTTTATCACAAAATTGACTAGTGCTCAACAAATTGAATTTTAAGCCTTCAACGAAAGAAACATCTTCAATCTTCAATCCATTTTTCTTGATCGTGCCAACTCCTTTTGTAGTTCCATAATTTTGATTTCCCCCGAATATAACTTTTGGTCCATCGATTTCTTTGAAATTCACTAGATATGATTTATTTCTAGTCATGTGGCGTGAGCAACCACTATCGATGTACCAAACATCCTGCAAAGAAGATTAATTAACTTTAGGTACCCATACTTGTTTGGGTCCTTTACTGTTAGTGATTTTAGGTAACCAAACCCACCTAGATCTTATTGGATTAAGATGAGGCGATTTGTAACCATTTGAGATTCGATAATCATAACTCACATTAGAAAACATTTTTGGCGCCGGGTTTTGAAAAATATTTTTATATTTTGGCACCTGGGAAGAGGATTGTTGCTTTGGTCTATAAAAAGCATTACATCTATTACACAACCAATTCTTTTGAGTGGGATAAAATCTCCCAACTCTATTTCTAGAAAAGCTTCCCTCTTTTCTATGAAATCTTTTTGCACTTGACTCTTTGGCATATCTTTGCTTGAAGAATTTTTGTTGCTTTGCCGTGTAATTGAATTGTTTCGGCCTTTCAACATTCAACTTTGCTTTTGTTTGATAGCCAAGTCCTTGTCTCATCGTGCTATTATACTTTTAACAAATTTTACCACTTGAACTTTATTATTTAAAGTAGTAGTAGAATTAGTCAGATTTTGAGGGGTTTGAGAACATGTGGAGTCATAACCGATTCCGGTTCTATCTCCTGATAGCTTTTGCATGCTCACCATTTTATCTATTATTTTAGACGAATTAGTGAACGTAGCAATGGTTGCCTGAAGGTTATGTTCTCTAATCTCTCTTACTTTACACTCTTCTTGAAGATGAATATTTTCATTCTTCAATTTACTCACTTCAAGTAAAGCATCTTGCAATTTTTTATTCATTTCTTCTTTTTCAAGAATTAGAATATTATTGCGCTCTTTGAGTTGAGGATGAGTGAGCATAATCTCTTGACATTCTCGTATTAGATTGTCAATAGATTCATGAGAAAAAGAAGAATTAACAGAATTGAAAGAATTAGATGTTACCTCTTTTTCATCTGCTTCAAGAGCCATAAGACAATCTTCACTTGTACTCAACTCAATTGACTTGCATACTAGCGCCATATCATCATCCGAACACGAGCTTTCATCGCTTGATGCTGAATCCTTCGAATCATCATTTTCGTTTGGTTCGTTGCTAACGAGAGCTTTTCTTTTGTCGCGCTTGAACCTTTTGCTTTCAGATTTGTTCACCGTAGATTCAACATTTTTTCCTTGATACTTGCTAACGATCGGATACGGACAATTTATTTTAAAATATCCGGGTTTGCGGCAATTATAGCACAAATCCTTATTTTCTTCGACTTTTTCTTCTTGTGATAGGCAAGAGACGAATTTTCCACGAGCAGAATTTTTGTTGTCTCCTTTTCGCATAAACCTTCTAATTTTTTTAACAAAAAGAGCAAACTGTTCGTCAGTCATAAAATCAACATTATTTTCTACTGACCTGGAAGTTGACGGTTGTTCGGCCATTAGAGCAGAATTTTGAGCTTCATGAACATCATCATCTTTGGCCTTCATTTCGAACTCATATGCTTTTAGATCACTAAATAATTTGTCTGTAGACAACATTCTTAGATCTCGATGATCGCGCATAGCCGTAACCTTCATATCCCATGCAGATGGTAAGCCTCGTAGGATTTTGAGATTAATTTCTTTTTGGCTAATGTTTTTGCCAAGATCACTAATCTCTCCAAGAACTTTGATCATTCGAGTTTCCATGTCTGCAACACTTTCATTCGAGAGCATTTTGAAATCTTCAAACTTCTTCATGGCGATTGTGAGCTTATTGTCTTTTTCTTGTTCATGTCCTTCGCCAATCTTGATGAGAGTTTCCCATATTTCTGTAGCAGTAGCACACTTTCAGATCTTCGGAAATATTGTATCATCAACGGCTTTGAATAGAATATCCTTGGCAATATTGTCAAGATTATTCCGCGTTCTATCATCCGATGTCCATTCCGGTTTTGACTTTTGTACGTACTGTGGAGCATCCGGGGATATAACAAACGCCGTATTGATTGTTAATATTTCTATAGGGCCAGTGGAAATAACTTCCCACATTTCATCGTGTAAAGCCGATAAGTGTACCTGTATACGAACTTTCCAATCATCAAATTTATCAAGTGAGAATAATAGATTTTGAACTAAATCTTTCTTCATCATCATCACGAGAGATATGAAAGATTAATCCAATCACACACTTTGTAGAATGGATCAGCCTAACAGTCAAAAACAGTTAACCCAATTAGGCAACGTGTTTTAATACCAAAGGTTGGTATAAGCTGACTCAAATAGGCTACAGGCTCTGATACCAATTGTTGGTCCCAAAATAGGTAAGGTGAAAGTCAGGAGGGGGGGGGGGGGGGAATAGACTTTCAAACTTTTTCGCACAGCACAACAATTGCTAAGCCAGAGATAAACCAAAACTCTTAACTAGATTGTTAGAGTATGGTGCATAGCGGAATTAAATAAAGATAAAGTGTGTGTGAGATTGTGTGAGCAGTATATCTTGTGTAGAGCAATTAAGTAAAGAGCAGTATGTAAAGAAAGCAGTAAAGAACACGAGACAATTATAGTGGTTCGCGAGGTGGTGTAATCCTCCTACTCCACTTGCTCTTCTCTCCAAGAGCAATTCACTATATCTACCACTTCTTGGTTACAAGATATAATGAATTTCCGTGATCTAGTGTTTTTATCACAAATCCCGCACTAATCACGCCCAGTGACACCACACTGCTGCTAGTGCTTTTATCACAAATCCCGCACTAATCACGCCTAGTGACACCACACTGCTGCTTCGGGTTTCACGTCGCCGCGCTACTATCCCAGGATTTCACGACTCCGTCTGCTTCCAAACTCAAACCCAAACTTCATCTGATATTCCTCTGGTTTTCTCACTAATCACGCCCAGTGACACCACTGGTTTTCTCACTAATCACGCCCAGTGACACCACACTGCTGCTTCGGGTTTCACGTTTCCTCTGGTTTTCACACTAATCATGCCCAGTGACACCACACTGCCCTCTGGTTTTCACACTAATCATGCCCAGTGACACCACACTGCTGCTTCGGGTTTCACGTCGCCGCGTTACTTTCCCCCGTCTGCTTCCAAACTCAAACTTCATCTGATATTCCTCTGGTTTTGGTTTTCTCACTAATCACGCCCAGTGACACCACACTGCTGCTAGTGCTTTTTTATCACAAATCCCGCACTAATCACGCCTAGTGACAACGTTTCCTCTGGTTTTCACACTAATCATGCCCAGTGACACCACACTGCTGCTTCGGGTTTCACGTCGCCGCGTTACTTTCCCCCGTCTGCTTCCAAACTCAAACCCAAACCCAAACTTCATCTAATATTCCTCTGGTTTTGGTTTTCTCACTAATCACGCCCAGTGACACCACACTGCTGCTAGTGCTTTTTTATCACAAATCCCGCACTAATCACGCCTAGTGACACCACACTGCTGCTTCGGGTTTCACGTCACCGCGCTACTATCC